TGGGATCTGTGAGATTCCCAAGGTGTTGGATGCACTTTGGATTGGATTGGATTCCATCTTTGTCCAGAGGGAATTGGGATTTCATTTTTTTCTCTGCCATGGATGCCAAAATTTCCTGCTGTGGCTCTGCATGAAGCAGGCTGGTGGATATCCAGCCTTGTTACCTGGAATTATTATTCCTTGAGGAGCCTTGGAATAGCTGACAGAGCTGGGAAAACCCTCCCTGCAGAGCTGCCCAGCCCTGAGAATTTGGGGTCACCCCTTTTTTGGGGGACAGCTGAGTGTTTGATTTTTGGGGGGACAGCCTGTAAGTGCCTGTGCTTGTGGCTTTTCTCTCTGCAGCACTAAAACCAGGCTGAATGCCTCAGAATCCTCATTTTTAGGTAAATTTGGAAGTTTGGAGACAGATCCACCTTTGCAGCTGGAGCTTCTCTCCTGCCTTGAATCCAAAGATATTTTCCATGGGATAGTAGGAGCAGGAGTGAGAAATTCCAGCTTGACGGCAGATTTTGGCCTTGGGAGATGGATGTTGAGATGGATGTTTCTGGGGCTCAGGGGTGTCAGGACACCCAGGCTTTGAACAAAAACCACATTTTCTTCCCCATCAGCTCCCCTGGTTATGGTGGAAGGAGACATCTCCACCAGGAAAGGTGGGAGAACAGCTCCAAAGCTCACCAGGAGGGAAAAACCTTCACAGGGAAGACATAAAACAGCTTTTAGGGCTTTGTAATGAACCCAAAACTCGGCAGTTTGCTGTTCCCAATATCCCAGCTGGGAATGGAGCTCGGTCTGGGACTGGGGACACTGAGGGGACAGTGGCATGACCACATCACCTCCACCCCGAATTTCCAGCTGCTTTTGCACCTGGTGCCTGCTCACTCCAATTCCAGGGGTGGAAAAATCCCAAGGGCAGCCCCCCCTGGATGCTGGGTCCTCTTCCCAAACTTCACCCCATCCCGGGATTGGGGATGTGGTGATGGAATCTGGACCCAGCTGTGGGAGGGGTTTGTTTTACGGGAGGGGTTTGTTTTTCCTCGTTTTACTTTTAAAACCGGGATTAGATGAGCGCAAACTCTGGGTCCGCTTCCCAAACCCCATCCTATCTCGGGATTAGGGATGTGCTGATGGGATCCCGTCCCAAGCACAGAAGGGATTTGGTTTTCCTTGTCTGGCTTTTAAAACTGGGATTAGATGAGTACAAACTCTGGGTCCGCTTCCCAAACCCCATCCCATCTCGGGATTAGGGATGTGGTGATGGGATCTGGACCCAGCTGCACGGGAAGGGTTTGGTTTTCCTCGTCTGGTTTTTAAAACCGGGATTAGATGAGCGCAAACTCTGGGTCCGCTTCCCAAACCCCATCCCGTCTCGGGATTAGGGATGTGGTGATGGGATCCTATCCCAAGCACAGAAGGGATTTGGTTTTCCTTGTCTGGTTTTTAAACCGGGATTAGATGAGCACAAACTCTGGGTCCTCTTCCCAAATCCCATCCAATCCAAGGATTAAAGATGTGGTGATGGGATCTGGACCCAGCTGCACGGGAGGGGTTTGATTTTCCTCTTCTGGTTTTTAAAACCGGGATTAGATGAACACAAACTCTGGGTCTGCTTCCCAAACCTCACCCTATGCCAGGATTAGGGATGTGGTGATGGTATCTGGACCCAGCTGCACGGGAGGGGTTTGGTTTTCCTCGTTTTACATTTAAAACCGGGATTAGATGAGCACAAACTCTGGGTCCGCTTCCCAAACCCCATCCTCTCTCGGGATTAGGGATGTGGTGATGGGATCCTATCCCAAGCACAGAAGGGGTTTGGTTTTCCTTGTCTGGCTTTTAAAACTGGGATTAGATGAGCACAAACCCCGGGTCCTCGTCCTAAATCCCATCCCGGGATTGGGGATGTGGTGATGGGATCCGGACCCCGCTGCACAGGAGGGGTTTGGTTTTCCTCGTCTGGTTTTTAAAACCGGGATTAGATGAGCACAAACCCCGGGTCCACTTCCCAAATCCCATCCAATCCCAGGATTAAAGATGTGGTGATGGAATCCAGGCCCTGCTGCACGGGAGGGGTTTGGTTTTCCTCATTTTACATTTAAAACCGGGATTAGATGAGCACAAACTCTGGGTCCGCTTCCCAAACCTCACCCTATGCCAGGATTAGGGATGTGGTGATGGGATCCAGACCCTGCTGCACGGGAGGGGTTTGGTTTTTCTCGTTTTACTTTTAAAATCGGGATTAGATGAGCACAAACTGGAGGTGGGGGATGTGGAGAGCGGGTGGGAAAAGGGGGATGGGGCTCCTGGTGCTGCTGGAACGGAAAATGGGGACGTGGCACCATCCAGCGACCAAAGTGGAAAAGGCATTTTCCCTCTTGTAGAGGTTTTCCTCCACATCCTGCGCCTCCCTGCTCTGGGAATCGGGGTGGATCCGCAGGAATTCGGGTTTAACTCTTCTCCTGCTGGGCACGTTTAGCTAAACTGGGTCTAGCCCCAACAAGGACATTTACAAGTGTGGGGCATCGCTGGCTTCAGCTCCTGCAGGGGAGGCCGGAGGGCTCCAGCACGGAGTCACCAGGGCTGGGCAGGATTCCCTTTTATGGGATCACTCCCAGACCTCAAAATGCCCGGTTTGGGGTTTTCCTGATTTTTTGCAAATCCTGAGTTGCTTCAGTGATCCCCAAGCTCTTCTCGGGTGGATGTGGATTAATTCCCACCGGCACCCACCCGGGGCGGTCCCGATGGGGTGGGCTGGGACAGGGGATTGAGCTGGGGGACAGAGACAGGGGCTGGGACATGGGCTGGGCCAGGGGACA